AGAGAGAGAGAGAGAGAGAGAGAGAGAGAGAGAGAGAGAGAGAGAGAGAACAGGCTTCCCCAGGGATACCAAACCAGGGCCAACAAGTTACAAAAAGACTACAAACAAATCCTTATATGAAGACAGGAAAAGGTAACCCAGTAGGAGGAAAAGAGTCCCAAACAGAGACAAAAGAGTCAGAGACACTCCCCATTCCCACTGTTGGGAGTCCCACAAGAACACCAAGCCACACAACCATAAGGTATATGCAGAGGACCTAGCTCAGACCCAATGCAGGGTCTGCAATTGTCTCTTCAGTATCTGTGAACCCCTGTGAGCCCTGCTTAGTTGATTCCAGGGGCCATGTTCCCATGGTGTCCTCTACCCACTGGCTCCTACAATCCCTCCTCCCCCTCTTCTGCGGGTTCAGAGTAAATGATTTTCATGACGACAGATGAAATCAAACCTAAGCAGGAAGAGATATTTTATGGCTGAACTGAAATTCAATAACAATATTGACAGAATTCAATGCCTAGAACTAATAAACTTTAACAGTAATTGCAAAGTTTCATAACAAAATTTCCCAAATTGTATGCACAAATACAATATGACTCTGCAACAAGTCCGGGGACAAATCCTTCAGGTTTCAGCTGAACATATTAATAAAATAAATTTCATTTATTTATATTCATAATATATATATAAATATTCATAAAAATATTATGATGCATGAGCTGTGCAGATGCATTTTAATAAAATTTCCCTCCTAAGCAATTGTGTGTTAATTCTACCGCATTTGTTCTGCTCAGACCACACAGAAAACACTAGCTCTTATTCATGATGTCACTAAAGGATCATGCTGATGAATCAAAAAATCCTACGGGAAAGCGGCCAGGATGGCCTAAGGTTGGAACTGACTAGAAAATTTTGTACACTAAGGAAGCTTAGTCCCAAACAAGAAGATGGAGGAAATAAATCCCTTATTAAGGAAAATGTATTAAGAGCATTTGACGAAGTTTGGGGAGGAAGGAGTAGAGAATTCAAATGAGTCGAGAGAACTTCCTTAAAACACCAGAAGGGGTTAAATTGTGAAGAGTCAGCTGTCACAACAAGAAAATCCAAGCAGGAATGTTTCTCACTGGTTCACGAGGTGGAAAAAAATTGTTGCTAAGGTCAATTTTGCGGACCTCAAGAGCTGATACTCAACACAAGATGGTGTTTGCGACCCTGTGGCTCTGTGCCCAGCAAGAAACCTGATTGGGAGAGGCAGACGGATCTTGGTTAGTTCGAGGCCAGCCTGGTCTACAAGAGCTAGTTCCAGGACAGGACCGATAGCTACAGCGAAACCTTGTCTCGAAAAATCAAAATGAAAGAAAGAAAGAGAGAGAGAGAGAGAGAGAGAGAGAGAGAGAGAGAGAGAGAGAGAGAGAGAAAGAAAGAAAGAAAGAAAGAAAGAAAGAAAGAAAGAAAGAAAGAAAGAAAGAAAGAAACCTTATTGGGGATCTCCTGTGTCTTCGTGTGTGACATCTTAGTATAGAGCATTTCCTGTGTACAGCTCATTTACAGTTAGCTGTTACTGTGGATTCCTTTTCGAAATATCGGTATTAAGTTCCCCCTTTCAGCAAGAGAGCAGAAGAGAAGAGAACCACGGCTGGGGCCAGGCTTGCCCTTCCATTCCAGGCATGCCTAATCCGTTAAATCAACTCGAGTTTAGAACTGAGTGTAAAGGTTCAGATTTCCCTTCCAGAAATAGGGCGGGGATGTTCAGCAGCTGCTAGGAGTAGGGAGTGGCTAAGAGTTGGAGAACGCCTCAACACCATCTAACTGCCTTTTAAAATTGGTTACGGGGCGGGGTTTGGGGGGACGCGCAAAGAACCTGGGAAGCGGAAAACCGTCCTTCTTTATCCCCACCCCAAAGCTTCTCTCAAGCCCGCATTTGGATCCAGGCTGACCCATGAGGTGGGAACAGGTGTGCCACACCCTACCCCACTTGCCATAAGCAGAAATTGTCTTGCTGTGCCTTTTGTGTTGGGAACCCATTAATCAAGGCAAGACAAAGCTTAGGCAGACAGGAACGGAGGAGATGGGGTGGGAGGGCGAAGAGAAGCCAGCGAGGAGCCAGCTTAGCACTGGGAACATTATAGATGACATCATTGCTTCAAAGAGATATAGTCCTCCCTTTCCCAGAGCTGTAGGCAAGCATATTCCGGAGGCAGCAAGAGTAGGGTTGCCTGGAGGGAGCGAATTGGTGCGTAGCTGTTTGTCCATAACCCAGAGAGAAGCCCAGACAGTAGCAGTCAGGAGTGACAGTTAGCTAGTCAGACAAGAAGCCACCTCAGCAGGAGGTGTTTGTACTGAGCCGGGCTCCTCCCCCTCTTCTCAGCGCGCCAGCCCTGGGAGGGGCACGCCGATTTAGGGGAGGGAAATGTGTGTCCAAGGGGGAGGGTCCGTAGCTACCGGCGAAGAGCCGCCTGCGCATGTCAAGGCTGGCAACACACTCGGCAAGGGGGTGGCCCTAGAGAGGGGCGGCTTGATCACCCAATCACCCAGCGTCGGGGATCCACAGGATCCAGGGGCGCGCTCCACGGAAGGGGTTCCTTCCTTCTACCACCCTCCACCTCTGAGATCACCAACCCTACGGGAGCTCCCGCCTCTTTTCCAGCCCCCGGAGGACCTCCCGGGAGCCCGGGCCCCTGTGTACAAGACTAAGGTGGAACAAATTCTGTAGCCCAGACGACGGCTGGAGTGGGGACACACCCAGCCCGAGAAGCCTGCCGGAGCTCCTGAGTCTCAGAGGATCTAAGTCGGAGTGTTGCTGTCCCTAGGGGTGGCGAAAGGTGAATCGATGTGACTCCTTTGACAGCCGAGCATCCCCGCGCCGGCTGCGCGCTTCCTTTCCTAGCCCACTTTGCTTTGGTTGCAAAAGCTAGAAGCTGGGGAGAGATTGAAATTCCAAGATCGGGGTGGGCGGGGAGGCTACTGTCCGTGGTGCTGAGCCAAATCCGGGGACTCGCTCCAGCGAGAGAGCACGAGGTGGCCTGAGCTGACACCCACACTCAGCTCTGGATTCTGCAGACCCCCCAGACAGGGCGCATGACCTTTCTTCCTCCTCCCACTCAGAAGGTCGCTCCCTTAGGGGCAGCTGATCCCTAAGGGTTTCCTCGAAAGAATCAGAGGGCGCAGTCTTTGACAGAGATTCTCTCTGTTTAGCTCCAGAAACCACGTACAGAAAAAGATGCCTGCCTTCAACAGATTGCTTCCCCTAGCATCTCTCATGCTCGTCTACTGGGGTAAGTACAGCACCCTGCCCTGAAATATGCAGGTAACAGGCATCATGATAACAATAATAACACTTAATTGATGTCACTGGTGACAAAAAGGAGCTTGCTTGGCTTCCTTCTGTGTATGTCTGCCAGACATGGTTGTCCACATGTACTCCCAGAAGGTTGGCATTTGAGGTTGCAAAGGCACCTCCCCCACTGCCCTGTGGCTTGATATTCCCCCCCCCAATCTTCTTTGGTGCTTCTTCCAGCCTCACTCTTTCCTAATTATCCCTATGTCCTCCCCTAGCTTACCCCTTTGCTGAAAGGAATGTATCCTGATCCATTATTTTAAAATTCTCGCTTGTGTTTACATTGCATTACTCAGTGAAGACGCAGTCCTGAACATTTCTGTGGGTTGGGGGCACATTTCTTTCTACTTGAAAAAAAAATAAAACACAAAACCTGGATGTATGAATTTTAGAGAGAAAATACCGTAGTTCACCCATCTGTTAAATTTTAATAAGGAATGGGTGAGACAGTGGCTCCAGTCATTGGTTGGGGTGCATTGATAGACAGATGTGAAGTGCATTTAGTTAACAGGAACATTTGGAGCTGAGGTGCTTTAGTATTTTGGTTAGCTGGTTTGTTTTGTTTGCTGGAGTTTTTGTAGTTTTTTTTTTTTGAATGATTGTTAGCTGTGAGAGACTGAGATGGCATTGCCCCTCTAGATAAGGAACTTGTGAAAATAATACTGGGCTAAATAGCCTCAAGAATAGCTTACAACAGGGTACCTAAGGGAACTGGGCATCTAGGTGTTTGCTAATAAAATACTGTGATACATGCAGTATTTTACTGTATGTAAATATATGTCCCTGTTTATAATTATATGCACTAGCATTTATCTGTGCATATTAGTATGAGTATCTAAATGGACTAGTGAGACTCAGCAGTGTGTGTGTGTATGTCTGTGTGTGCGTGTGATTTCTGGCATCTTTGCTTTCATGTCTCTGACCCAGCCCTCAGATCAAGTATAGGTGCTCTTCAGTTCATAAATCAGTTTAGCTACCTTCCTCCAAGCTCAAATATGAAAGAAAAAACCCATAATGAACTGTGTCCATCTCTGTTACAGAAAGTAGGCTTGTGAGATTATGTTCTTACACTGGGCTTGGCTCCCCCTCTGCCTGGGCAGTGGCAGGCATGCCTCTTTGCCTTCATATCGCTTCATCAAGCCTTGGATACAAACTGTAGCTGCATGCATTATTTGGATTTTGCATATGACCAGAGGAAGTGCCCAGTTTCCTGTTGAACAAAATGCCTAATGAAACAAGAATAGGACGGAAAAGGAAGAAAATAACACCAACCCCAGGGGCAGACTCACCACAGCCCATTCCCTGTAGACCACAGTCTACTTGGAGATGAAACTGACATAATGCACTGCTAGTGAGCTCACCTGTCTTGAAGATCAAGGCTGCTATTTGCTCCAGGGAAATGCTAGGGCTGCGAGGCTTGGAAGAGAGAGGTTAGTCAGTCTGACAGGATAAGGAAAGGTGTGGGTGAGGTTCAAGCTGTAGAGAGGGGTTGGAAGAGGTCAGTAGAGAAATTTTTCCAAACTCTTAATCTGTAGGTTCCCTCCCTACTTCCAGTGGGGTGGGGGGCGGGGTGGGGAAATGCTGCAGCCTCAGCAGTCTGGGGCGAGGAATCACAATCCCTGGTTTGCTTCTCAGCTCTACTGGTCCTACTTCTTCACTTTTATTTGGTGACATCCCCAGAATGCCTGATAAAGGTGAAGTCTGGGAGCTGTCACAGATCATATATAACGCCCCTTTCAGCTCACAAGTCAATCAGAAAGGAATATTTACAGAATATTACTAGAACTTTCCCTACTCCCTCAAAAATCTTGGGGAAAGCTAACAGAAAAGGCTACATTTATCTTTGCTCACTCCAAGATTCTGTGACCCAAACATTGGTTCAGCCAAAAGGGTTTCAGAATGCTCGGTTGTTTGTGGGGGGGGATGAGCCTCCCTCACAAATATAGTTTTCCTTTATTCGCAAATAATTCTTGTATCCATGAGGTCTTTTGATCACCATGTCACGGAGGGGCAACATGCGAGCTATTACCACTTTAGGGCATGAGAATGTGAGCTCATAAAGGTCAGAGGGCTTGCTAGAGAGCTGTCTTCCCGATAGATCTCTATTTTCCTTGTAGACACATGTGATGCTGTGTGCAGTGGTCAACTGGACACTGGTCCTGGTATTTCTCCTCTAAGCCTTCCTCTCATCCCCCAACACCACCCCCTTTCCCTAGGACTTCATCCATTCTTTAGCTCCCAGTGGCTTCTCTACTTTTGCTCCCCCAAGGGTCCCCTGTATTGGAGTTTTCTTCTCTTGGCAGCCCTTCCTGAATCTCATTCCTTCAAGGCTCTGCTAATCTGATAGACTAAATCATTTCAGGATGTCAAGGTCTAAAAATAACTTTATTCGTGTCCCCTCCCCCTTGAACATTATTTACATTATAATTAAAGCCTTTATTATCTTACTGTAGAGGATGCAGTCTAGGGAAAGTTCAGTAAGGGCAAAGAAGAGACAGATCTGTAAGGAACAGAGAAGGGTTTTTTTAGGTGTTTTTTTTTGTTATCTGTCATTCTTAATTTGTCACTTTTTTCATGATTGTCTTCATTATTATTGTGTTCATATGAAGTTGCATTCCAAGGTCAATGATGCAGTCCAGAACATTCCAAGAGATTATGATATATAGCCAGTGATGTGGGTTGGCCTCTTCCATGTGTTCCACCTTTTGAGGGTACCTAGATAATGTCACAGGAAACAAGGCAGTGGCGTGGTGGGGAAACTGACTTCCCTGTTGATGGAAGGAGCAGGAGGTCCCATTGCAAGTTGCAAGCAAATGAGATGAGAGAATTTTGTGGCCATTTTGTAATGTGCTGTCTGGGACTGCAGGAGCAGAGTTGTATTGCCTAAAAACTGGACTTCACAGTGGACTTCACAGAAGGTTCACAGTGGGTCTTCTCTCCAAGGGCAGAGAACACTCCATGCACTGCCACCTGACACCTAACACTCTGTGCAGGGTGCTTCCCCCTTTCATTACAAATGAATGCCTGTGCTCCTCCTCTGCAATCCAGCTGTGTGTTCATGAGAGCACAGCCCCCAATTCTGTTATGCAACATTGTGTAAGCTAGCTCTGCTATCATCTAGGCAAAAGAACTACCCAGTTTCACCACTGTATAGCTTTTTAAAATTTTTCTTTAAAAATCATTTCGTGTGTGTGTGTGTGTGGGTATGTGTATGTGTGTGTTTTGATGTGGAGGTATATGTACATGTGCGGAGGTGCCCTAGAGGCCAGAGACGGGTATCACATCCCCTGGAATTGAAGTTACAGATGGTTATAAGGTACCTGAGATGGGCACTGGGAACCAAATTCAGGTCCTCTACGAGAACAGGAACTCTTAGCCACTGAGCCGTCTCTTTGACTGCCTAAGACTTTATTGGATTTATTTCTTGTGTGGGGGAAGCACATGCCACTGTGCACATGTGGAGAGGTAGAAGATAACGTATGTGAGTCAGTTCTTTTCCTTTATCACGTGAGGCACAGGGCTTGAACTCCAGTTTGGTCACCTTGGCTGCAAGTGGCTTTATCGGCTGCTCCATCTCACCAGGCCCTGTACCAACCTCTTAATCATTCTTTCTGCTTTTACCTTTGAATCCGCTTCTCCTGTCAATTTATTCTCCCCTTGCCACTCTGACCGTGCAACATAGTAGAAATCATATTATTCAACTCAGAGCCTTCAAGGTTCCCTAGTTCATGCTGTGTAAAAGTCAAAGTTCTAACTGTGTCCTGTAAGACCTGGAGAGATGGGACCCTCCCCTCCCTTACCTGTCTCTGTTCTCACTGCTCGCTTGTTTCCCACCCTGGGCTTTGCTGTTCCTCTGATATGACAGACACACTCATTTGAATCCTCTTGCTTATCATCACCTTACACAGACATCCCTGTGGCTTCTTCTCCTTTTTTTTTTTTTCTTGAGCAACTTCCCAATGCCAGTGTTCATTTCTCAGTGAGACCAGTCCTGATAATATGTTATTCCTCTCCTCTCCTCTCCTCTCCTTGCCTTCCCTCCTCTCTCCTCTCCTCTCCTCTCCTTGCCTTCCCTCCTCTCCTCTCCTCTCCTCTCCTTGCCTTCCCTCCTCTCCCCACCTCCCCTCACCCTCTCTCCCTCCTCTGCTGCTTTATTTTGTTTTGTTACCTACTTGTACCACCCCATTGAGATTCAGGTTCCAAGGGATCTGGGATGAGTTTGTTTGCTTCTTGGTGCCTAGGACAGTGCTGGCTGCACAGTGAGTACTCAATACATTCACCAAATAAATGGAGATAAATACCATTATTAATGATATTTATTCAGGGCACATTTGTGCAAATTAATACATAGGGCTTTCATGACCTATCTACTGGGTGTTTTATTTTTTTAAAAAAATATTGAATAAACTGAGTCTCAGAGAAAGAAGTTAGGTAGTTATTCAAACACAGTCCTTAAGTTTACAAACACCACTCCCACCCTGCTTCTACTGCTGTAGTGGTGCATTCCTTGGGACTTTCCCCTTTCATGCCTCTGGTCTGGTTTTTCTCTGTTACCCCTCATCAAATATGAGAATCTATGTTACATGGAGTTCTTGCTGCATACACTTTTGCACAATGCTTTTCAGTTGCTTTGAAAACAAGTCTGTAATGAAGACTATAAGTTTACAACATACCCAACATGTTTCTCATAATTTCCCCCAAGATAGGGACCTTTCTCAATTAAAACAATGAAACCGATCTTCCTCAGACTGCAGGATAAGCTTAGCCCCCTTCCCTTGAGGGTTTCAAAGCCAATTCATTTTTTTTTATTTAGAACATTTTTAAAACTTTAATTATAGTGCCAACAGGTTCTAAATCCTATGTTTAAAATGAAATATGACGTTGCGCTAGTTTTGAAATATCAGTGTGTTTTGTTCCACCTTGCAGAGTTTGTGTTTATCATGAATTCATGGACAGGGTACCAGAGGATCCTTCAAAGTCATGATGGTAGTGGTCACACTTTTGAGTCTTCCCAATTATTAGGTATAAAATCCCTTACCAAAAAGTTTTTTTGCTTTTATGAACAGCTGCAGCATCTGACAATATATTTAATTTTTAAGTTGTTTTTTGAGACAAAATCTCATGTAACTTAGACTGGCCCCAAATGCAATAAGTAGCTAGGAAGTCCCTGAATTTCTGATCCTCCTACCTCAGTAGCCTGAGGGCTGGAACTGCAAGCATGTTCCACTCCACCCGATTTATTCAATCTTGAAGCTTCGTGCAATGTTAGGTAAGCACTCTACCAACTGAGCTACAGCTCCAAACCAATATTTGCTAATGATTTAGTGGATACAGGGTTGTACTCAGTAGCCCATACTGACCTCACACCTGCAGCAAATCCTGGCTAACTAAGAGAGATTTGTTTAAAGTTAGATTTGACGCCACATGCCTATAATCTCACCTGGGAGACTAAAGCAAGAGGATTGTGAGTTCAAGGCTAGCCTGGGCAACACAGTAAGACCCTGTCTCAAAACACCAGAAGAAAAACAAATTAACCGCACTTAACTGATTTTTAAAACTTTTAAATTTGACTCTAATTAACTTTCTTTTCCATTTGTCAGTCCGAAATGTCTGAAGACAAACCTGTCCTGTGTCCAAGTTCAGCACTCCATGTTCCCACAGTTGTCCCTTACCAGGCCTTGCTGATGGGCCTTCCTGACCACCTTTGGGTGTGCACGCATGAACGGCCCCCTTTTGTTAAATGTGAGATGCTGAACAGATCAAAGCATCCGGGTTTGTTCTGAACATTGCAGAACTACCCCTACTTCCCTCTGCACAGTGTGCATCTGCTAATGCATCCCACACTTGTTCTTGCTTCGTTGGCATCTGTGTACCGATTTTGATTAATCCTGAATTTGCAATCTGACATAGTCACCTTCTTTCTTTGGACGTGGAGTTTCTAGAGGGTGGGAACCAAAAGTCCAAACCTCCATGTGGTGTAGAAGGTGGTGTCTGATCACCTGACCCCTCCAGAATTTGAATTCTGTCTCTCTACTCTGCACAGAGCTTGCTCCAGACTAAGCAATCCATTCGTCATATTCATACGGATGCTGCACTATTTTCCATGGGTCCCCAAACTCAGATTCCCTCTCCGCTGACGTTAGAGTCCTCAATAGATTACACCACAAAGTGCATGCAGGTCTTTTCAGTGTTGGTCTTATCTACCTTTCTATTTCATGGTCCACCAGTCCTCTCCCCTCTTCTCAGCCCAAGCACAAGTAACTAAATGCATCTCTGTGGACCTGGGTGCATTACCAACATGACCTCTTGTGTGTTCCAGTTGAATCACCACAAGAAATGTATTCTTTGCTAGGTTACAGATGCATGGAGAGCATGGCTAGTGTTTTGTTATTTCTTGAGTCTCTAATCTAGCATCAGACCTGACAAAAAATGGATTTTCATGACTGCTGGATGAATGGTCAAGTGAATGGACAGTTGACGGATGGTAGCATGGTCTGTCTCCTCCTAGACTCCAAGACTTTGAGGTTAGACTCAATTCCGTCCTGTGCTGCATCTTCATGGCTTCCAAAACCTTCCAGTCAAGATCCATCTCTGCATCATATTAGTCGAGACCCATTCTGCTCATGTGCACCCAAGGAGCCCCAGCAACAGATGCACACGTGGATCTTGTTATTTTCAAGTGTGTCTCATGATTCTTTCTTCTCTGTCTTCCCTCCCTCCCTCCCTCCTCATCCCCCAATGCCCACTCTGATTGTCCCCTTCTTGTCACCCATCCTCTCTCCAGTCAGAGTCTGCTTCCCTGTGTGTGTGGAAGTACCCTCGGAGACGGAAGCCGTGCAGGGCAATCCCATGAAGCTGCGCTGCATCTCCTGCATGAAGAGGGAGGAGGTGGAGGCCACCACTGTGGTGGAATGGTTCTACAGGCCTGAGGGCGGTAAAGATTTCCTTGTATGTCAGACTGCTGCCTCTGGTCTTTCATTTGCTGGTCTATGCTGTTGTATGCCTGGCTCCCGACAGTATGGGAGATGATGCCTTGACATGACATTCCCTCCGCTCCTGAGCACTGACGTCACCTCAGCAGAGAACCGACAGCCTTAGAGTAGTGCATGGTCTTTGCAAAGCAGGCACTCGGCCAGTTGTAAGCAATCCTAGTTACAAGCAGGAGAAGGGGGTACAAAGACGTAAATGTGTTGATAAAGCCTGTGTGGGCTAGGCACCCTAGTAGACCTCTTACAGGTGTGTTCATCTTTCATGCAGTCCTCCGAAATGGACTTAATGAAGCTGAAAGCAAGCAAGCAAAGTAGCTTTTTGTGAAGTAGCATGGGTAGCTCTTCCAGCTATCACAGTCCCAGTGAAGTAGGAGCAACTGAGATGACCAAATTTTGTACCAACTGATATGCCCAGGAGAGCCCCCTCTGTGGGTAAACTGTTCAGTTACTTCTTGACACGCTCTGTACCCCAGGTGGTCAGGCTGCCATTCTCCCCAAGAGGAACCCTAAACCTCAATGGTCTATACACCAAGGGTTTCACTCCTGGCCGGGCAAGAAGTCCTCCAGACTCTGTGCCAGGGTCAGGGTCAATGTCAGTTCTGGTGTGGGACAGCGCTCAAGGGGTTGTGGTTCATTTAAATCAGTGTCCAGACTTTCATTGACTCTGGAGTCAGGCTGCCTGGCTTTGATTCTTTTCTTCATGCTATTTGGCTCCATACCCTTAGGCATAGTCAATCTCTTGCTGCCTCCAATTATTTTGTCCTTTTAAGTGGGAATAAAAACAAAAGCTTCGTGATGGGGTTGTTTCCAGGCAGGCCATGTGAGCTCTGATTTCTAATTCGTTTTAAAGGTCCTTGAAATGCGGTGTGTTCGTTGGGGAAAGCGAAGAGCAAAAGAATAACGTTAACTTAGTAAAAGTGTTTAGATTTGAACACACACACACACACACACACAAATTTAGATCTGTACACAGTGGCCTGACAGCAGACCCAAGGCCCTTTCTGGAGCTCTCCCTTGCTCTCCTGGGTCTCTTCACCTACTGGAGACAACAACATGGTGACACTGACTTTTCCTTGCTCATTCTCCCCGCCCCACCCCCCAAGTGGGTTCATTTCTGATTCTAGGTACTACGTGGTATTTAATCCTAGGTTGACTCCAGCCTGGTGCCAAGGCAAAGATAAACAGCAACTTTTTAGAGTCTAACTTAAGCTTGAGTCGCACACCAGGGAAGGTAAACTCAGATTTAGTGTCCAGTTCTAGGAAGCCAGAGGTCTTGGCTGGATTGGAAGGGCCGGCCCATGGGCTTCAGGCCTCGTCACAGGCTAGCTGTGTTCACTGCTGGTATACCTGTCCCAGGCCACAAGGTGCAACTGAGGCACTAAATGTTAATGTCTAGGAACAGGAGTCTGAATTTTAGTCCATGCCCACGCTTAGTGGAGCCTAGATGGAAAAAGTGTCGTGTCAGAGTGGAAGGGTCCGAGAAAGAAATCGGAAAGAGCTGACTTTGGTTCTAGTTCGGCCCAAAGCAAAAGCTCTACACATCTCTCTTGTTGAGTTCTCTGCTCACTGGCCTTTCTTCCACATTCTGGATTCCTGTATGTGTCCTGGCCATGACCACCATGATGGACGCCAGGTTGGAGAGGCAGGCATTAAGCTCAGGGCTGTCAGGTATCACCCCTGCTCACAGCTGGTTTGTGGGTCTCTATATCCTGTCCGTTGCTGGCCACCTCATCACCGTGCTCACTGTCCTTCCTTACCTCTGTTCTGTCTCCATCCTTTCCTTTTCCTGTTACTTTCTTTTTCCTGATCCTTTACGGATCAGCCACCCCCCTTTCTTCTCCACTCTGCTCCTTTTCGTTCCCCAGGATTCTTTCTGACTACTCCATGCTGCCTCTCCCCTCACCATGTCCACATGTCCAGACATCTGTCTGCCTCTACCTGCTTTCCCATCTTCACTCTCTCCCTCGGCTTCCTCTGTGCCCTTTTATCCCACCCCATGCTCTGGGTCTTCTGGAAACCTTGTCCCTTAGTTTTCCTGCCCGTGGAAACTCCTGCTCTTCATTCCTCCCTGTCTCTTGTGCCACCATCTGCTCCGCTCCTCCCTCTGCAGATATACGAGTATCGCAATGGCCACCAGGAGGTGGAGAGCCCCTTCCAAGGGCGCTTGCAGTGGAACGGGAGCAAAGACCTGCAGGACGTGTCCATCACTGTGCTCAATGTCACGCTGAACGACTCTGGCCTCTACACATGCAACGTGTCCAGGGAGTTTGAATTTGAGGCGCACAGGCCCTTCGTGAAGACCACGAGACTAATACCCTTGAGAGTCACTGAAGAGGGTAAGACTGGGGCCCTGAGTCTCTTCAGGGGTTGGGGTGGAGGACAGTGGCTTTCCACATATGTGATACTCAGAACTGCCTTCCTTGCAGGGCCCACTTCCTACAACCTGCCTCATCAGAAACCCTTGCTGTGGCTTCCCTCAGAGCAGACAGGTTAACACAGATATTAGGATAACTTCCCTGGTTCCCTAGAGGAAAAGGACAGCCTCCACAAGGCCTCCAGCTCACAACTCAGGCATGCCTTTTTCTCTGGCCAGTGTTGAGTCCCTAATTTATATGTAAACGTCATCTCTTCTACTGCGAGCCACATATATCTCCAAAAAAATTGCTTTCAAAATTTAGTGAGCCTCAAGTCTCCTCAGACTTTTAAATTTTTAAGTTTACATTTATTCTCTCTCTCTCTCTCTCTCTCTCTCTCTCTCTCTCTCTCTCTCCCTCCCTCCCTCCTCTCTCTGTGTCTGTCTGTATGTCTATCTCTCTGCACGCACACACATGTGCCATGGTGTATGAGGAGTTCAGGGGACAGCTCATGGGAGTTGGTTCTGTCCTCCTACTATGTGATAATAGCACTGAACTCAGTTCATCAGGCTTGGTGGCAGGCCCCTTTACCTGATGCTCCATCTTGCTGACCCTTCCCCATCTATAATCTCTCTCTACAGGTGTCTGTCTTCAGCTAGGAGTGGGAACAAGTTGCTAGCTCTCTAGTCTTTAAAGTCAACAGACTCTTTGCATTTGTTGGTGGCAGGTGGAAAATTCTGTCAATAACCTAACCTGTATATTGCATTCCCATGCAACCTGAGTCCAGAATGGTGGGGGAACCGCACAAACTGCTCCTCCCCCACTATCAGGAGACTCAAAGAACTGTGGCTCACAGCCCTGGCAAACACTCCTTCCCAAGGCAGAATGTGAGCCCTACACCTCCTTTCGTGTTTCCTCACCAGGGCTAGGCCGCCATGCCATTCTCAGAACCTCTCACACAGTTGTATTTCTAGCATGTTCTTATCGCTGCCCTAAGATACAGGCTGGTGAGCAGGTGGTGGTGCGGGCTGTGGAGAGAGTGGACGGGTATACACAGAGCTTGCCCTAAGCAAGGGAGTGGAGGAATCACAGCTTCAGGCCACTGGCCAGCTTAAAAATAAAAAGTATCATTGTTATAAAATTGAGACAGTGACAGTTGCTGGGTCTTGAGGGTGAATGACAATGAGACACTGTAACTCACTCTAGCAGAAGGGAGCTCTGGTTCTGAACGTGTAGCAGGCTCAGACCACCTGAGTGAAAACTTGCTCATCCACTCTCAGCACTTGTGTCCTCTGGTGAGGAAACAGGGGGGTTGAACAGGAAGCTCTCTGAGGTAAAAGTCTGTTCGAAGTTCCATTACCCTCATTTGTTTATGCAATCTCTCCTCCCAGGGGAAGGGAGCCTGGTGCCCTCTTGTGTTCACCCCAGGAACTGCTGACTGGCGCCTGTTGGTTCATCGGCAGATGCCTGTGGGTCTCTATCCCCTGCTCTCTCTGGCTCTGGCCTCCAGAGATGTGGGGACACAGCCCATGGGAAAGTGTGGCACCACTGTGCTAGCCTGCCTGTTTGTCACCAGAGCAATCCTCGGATAAGAACAGAGGGAAAAAAAACAAATTCATAATTAGAACAACAGAGCCACACAGGCGGTAGGGCTGGGAAGGAGTTTGCGTTGTATTTAATGCAGGCGCCCTTGTGGGTATGACTTCAGGAGCGGTGATGTGTGTTCCTACGGCTCCCCTCAGGCACATGGAGGCTACAGGTGTGGCAGGAGTGCTCTGAGGAGCAAAGGGCTTGCTTAGGAGCACGAAGCGCCCTGAGAACGGGGACCAACATCCACATTTTTCCACTATCAAGTTAACCCCCCAACAACTGCATCTTTCTTTCTGCCGCCCTCCCTGCCCCATGACACTTTCCCTCTGGGTTTGTATTTTGCCTTTGGAACCCCTCGGCAGCCCTCCCCACCCTCAGGTCACTCACAGGTACATGACAGATGTCTGTTTGCCCCACTCCTGGAGCCCCAGGGAATCTGCCTGGTTCTCCTTGTTGACTTTTTCCAGGCTTAGTCTCTCTGCTCTCATTCTAAGACAGGAAGCTGTGGACTCTTCTCCTACAGGGGACAGAAATACAGAGGGAACCTTCCTGTTACTACCTCGGAGCTTTGGCACCAAAATAGAAATACCACACTTTATGGCAAGCCTATCACACACATTTATTAGGTCCTAGAAAGCCCCGCAGACAAGATAGGTGAGGAATATGTTCATGCTTGTATGCTCCCAGCTTCACCCATGACCTCCAGCTCTAACAGGAGAAAGAAAGCTGAATGTCTAAGTACCTAGATTTCAGAAGCAGGCTCATACTTCAAAAACATATTCTTGCGGTCAGTAGAAAGGATGCACAGCACAGTGCCTCCTGGGAGTGATTTTATGGGCTGGGGAAAACTGTGCATGGATGGAACTACGCTACCCAAGGTCCCAGGAGAAGCTCCCCCAGAGGGGCTTTCAGCAGAATCTAGGGTCCTTCTCAGGAGGCTGAAAAGAAGGACATGGTCCCAGGATAGAGGAGGCAAGAGATAAAGCCAGATAGTCGAGAACACCAATACAGAAGAGAGGTTATAGCTAGCCGAATGGAAGGCAAGTGAGAAAGGATGGACCACAAAAGGCGTACATATCCTGTCACTAGAGACGGGCTTTATCCTGGCGTGTGAGGGACCACGGGAGGATTTTAAACGGGGAGATAGAAGGATGCATGTGCTTCGGGAGCCGACCTGGGGGGAGTCCTCCTAAGTTTCCTGAACCCTCCAGGACTCCCTTCTCCTGAGGTTAGCATAACCTGGAAGGCCCTCATTTCTCCTTCCAGACCCATGGAGAACATGCTTCTGGTGCTGGATGGGCTGATGATGGTAGCCCTAAATGATCCTTCTCTCTGGGGACCCCACCTCTACTACCTGTGGCTCAGAGGTCAGAGGTGGCTAGAATAAGGCATGTTCCTTATAGCTATGTGGAGCTTCACATCTGACAAGACAGTGGGGTCATTTTCATGTGTTTGTTTGTTGCGTAGTGCCGGGGTTTGAGGTAAGTGCCTGGCAATGGTGTTATCCCTGAGTTCATCTCCCTCAAGTACACTGAGTAATGTAACTTTCACAACAGTCCAGAGTACCGTGAATTGTTATCCTCATTTTACAGGTTAAGAAACTGAGACTCAAAGGAAATGAGTATTTACACAGTAGATCGTATATCGTGAATGCAACTAATACTGTGTGTGTGTGTGCGCGCGTGTGCGCGCATGTGTGTTCACAACCATGTATCCACAATCATTCTGACTCTGTCGTTCCTTCTTCCACTTGTCATTCCCCTCATCCTCATGTCTAGAAAAGCTGGACAGTCAAGCGAGAAATCTGATAGGGAGTCAGGCAATGGGGATTCTTTTGATATCCTCATAAGCTCCTCTAGACTTGGCGTTGACTTGAGACGTAAACACAGGCTTCGTCTATCTGTGAGCCCAGTGATAGACAGCTCTGGGTTCTGTGGGACACATGTGTTCTGAACCTCATTCTCCTCCTTGTAGCGGGAGAAGACTTCACCTCCGTGGTCTCAGAAATCATGATGTACATCCTCCTGGTCTTCCTCACCCTGTGGCTGTTCATTGAGATGATCTACTGCTACAGAAAAGTCTCCAAGGCTGAAGAGGCAGCCCAGGAAAATGCGTAAGTGATGAATGACAGCTCACACACTCGGAATGTGTGTTCTCACTGGTGAGGGGTTAAGCTCACATACCTAGGTACATTCCTCTGAGCAATCTAATAAGAATGCTCCCAGAGCCAGAACCAGGTGGTAGTGGCGCATGCCTTTAATCCCAACACTTGGGAGGCAGATGCAGGCAGATCTCTGCAGGTTCAAGGCCAGCATGGTCTACAAAGAGTTTCCAGCCTGTTCTATATAGTTCCAGGACAGCCAAGGCTGTTATGCAGAGAAACCCTTTCTCAACGCCTCCCCCGCCCAACTAAAACATCTATAAAGGATACATTATTATATATGTATTATACAAATAAAAATAGTAAGTCTAGAAGAGGTTCTGGGAAGGCCACTGTAAGTCATAGACTGTCTTAGTTACTATTGCTATGGTGTAAAAAAAAAAAAAAACGCTGGGGGTAGGGAGGGTTCACTTCATTTATACTTCGACATTACTGTCAATCCTCAGAGATGCCAGACCAGGAGCCTAGAAGCAGGAACCAAAGCAGAGGCCATGGAGGAAATTCTTACTGGCTTCTCCTCATGGCTTACTCAGGACCACCTCCCAGGGCTGCTACCACCCATAGTGAGCTGGGCCTTCCCACATCAATCATCAACCAAGAAAATGCCCCACGGGCTTGTCCACAAACCAGTCTGGTAGCAGCATTTGTTTTTCAATTGGGGTTACCTTTCCTAGCTGTGTTGGGCTGACAAAACACTAGCCAGCACAGAGACAAATCAAGATTTGAATTTAGGCCAGCTGTCTCTTGGCCTACACATTAAACCACTATAGAAAAGGCAAGCAGCTGCCAAAGCAATCTCATAAGGTTATATATGATCATAACCAGTTGGTAAATGTTGAGGCTGCCTCACAGAAGGCAAGCACATTGCAGCGGTGAATGGAGAAGCTGGGAATCGAACCCGGGCCTTTTAGTCTTGATATCTATGCTCTTTCTGTCACATTCAGCTGTTCCCTTTCTACATTTGGAGCACATCCACCCACCTGGGCACTGCCCTTCATTAGCTAAGGAGTGCCACAAAATATACTCTTTCTTTTAAGTTTGATAGCAAGTGAATACCTCTAGCAGGGAATCTAATCCCCTAGTATCCTGCCTCTACTTCCCACTTTCACCAAATACCTACACTCAAGACTGAATGTGAGGGCTGCCGGAGTCTGTAAAGACAAGGGGCTAAGAACTGCTATTGGCCTGTTGTTTGGAAAAGAAAATGGAGGTATGTGAAAAAAAAAAAGTCCACAGACATCCAGGCACTGCTGAGGCAGTACCTAAAATACCTAGGCCATTATTGCCTAGAATTTTTGTTTGTTTGCTTTCGTTTTTGTTTTTTGAGACAGGGTTTCTCTGTGGCTTTGAAGCCCGTCCTGGAACTAACTCTTGTAGACCAGGCTGGCCTCAAACTCACAGAGATTCACTTGCCTCTACCTCCCAAGTTCTAGAATTAAAGGCGTGCACCACCACCACCCAGCTATTTCTAATTTTAATTTTTAATTTTAATTAACTCATTTTTGTGATACCCATAATCTCAGAGAAATAAAAATCACAATCAATTTTGTATAAAGACAGTACTCATGGTTCAATATGATGTACCTCCAATTGGGTTCACACAAGGAACAGAATAGGAATTAAGAATCACCAGTACAGCCAGAATCCCCAGAGGGCTACAAAGGGTAGACCAGATGACAGCCAGCTTTGAGAAAATCCAAGGAATTTATCTATGCTGGTCTGATTCCAAGAAGAACCAGAAAAGATTCTTGGAAACAGAATATGGCACAGATATGGAAAAGGTGAAATATAGCAAAGAAACAGGAAGAGGAAATGAGATGATCCCTTATAGAAGACAGCAAATGCGGGAGAATTACATATACTTAGAGAGGAGGCCAGAAAGAAACGACTTCCCTAGCCAGAAGCATGTTCGTGGTCCTCTATAAAGGATGGCTCATTCTAAGAGTATTTTACTTTATAATGATGGGAAAGCAATGTGTGTTCAGCAGATATTACTTCAGAGGTTGGATTCTAATGTCTTCCGAGACTAGCAATACAGTCTGCTCCCTCCTGATGCTGAGCAGTCACTGTGAACCTCGGCCTCCAATCAGCAAGTGGCACTGTGGCTAAGTAAACTATGCTCATAGGTAAGGTAGGTGTGTTAAATGCATTGCTGTCAATTATCAGGACATGCCCTCTAAGCTAAGGAAGGTCTTATGTCCTGAGTAGGGTGAATGCATAAATATATACCTAAGCACAGATTTTCTTTAAACAAATAAACTGCAGCTACTCGGGTACTCTACATCAGTGTCATCTGACACGAATCTTCTCCGGAAGAAATACATATAATATGAGAAACATGACAAGGATGCTATCTCTCCCTGCTCCTAGACAACACTGTGTTGAAAACCTTGGGAAAAATAAGAAATGTGCTGGGCTTCATCTCCTGTGGCCGTGATAAAACACTCACACAAAAGCAGCTTGTGAGTCCAGGGGTTTATTTGGCTCACAGTTCAGGTGACAGTCTGGGCAGAGCTTGGGAGGACTGGTGACCTCTGCAGTCAAGATCCGCAGGCAGTGGATGTATACATGCTGTGGTTCAGCTCAGTTCTTCCCCTTTTACACTGCCCAGGATCCCTGCCGAGGGGATGGTACCACCCACAGTTAAGATGGGGTGTCCTGTATCCGTTAGTGTAATCTGCACAATGCTTCACAGTTTTAGAGGCTAATCTTAATCTACACAATGTCTCACATGGGTGCCCAGAGGTTTGCCTCCTAGACTTTGAACTGATGGTTGATACTAACCATCACCAATATAAAGAAAAACAGGCTAAGATTTACAAAGAAGAAAAATATATTATCATTACTTACACCCAAAGTATCATCTACATAAAATTTCCTTAAGCAACCTAGTTAAGAATATTCTATAAGGTCGCCAATGCAAATCCACCTTCAGTCATGTTTCATTCAATGACAGACCACGGGTACCATAGTGGTCCCATAAAATCACATCACCTAATGACCGCTTAGTTTGGGTATTAATACTTTATGATGTTCATAAAAGGACAAGATCACCTCATAAGATATTTCTCAAACTGCATCTCTGAGGGAGAACAAAGTAAGAATTTCAAAAAAAAATTGACTATATCCCAGCAACAGATGTAGAAGCACATTTAAATCCTTAAAGTAGAAAAAAAAATAATTAGTTGCAACAAGGGCTAAGGAGATGGCTTGGGAATTAAGAGCATTTGCTGCTCTTGCAGAGGATCAAGGGTCAATTTCCAGCACCAACATGGTGGCTCACAACTGTCTGTCATTCCAGTTTCAGGGGATCCATTACCCTATTCTGATCTCCATGGATACCAAGAATACACATGGTATATATACATACATGTAGGCAAAACATCCATTACACATAAAAAAATTTAGAAAAATTTTTATTGCAATGGTAACAAATGTCCAACAGTACTTATGAATAAAGACAACAAAAAGGGTGAAAGACCTCTGAGGAGAAAATGACAGCACCTTACTGAAAAACGAGAAAAAAACGCAAAGACTAGAGAATGAAACCTCACTTTTCAAGGCATTTCTTGCCCCAAATCATCTTCAAAGTCGATGAATTTCCAATAAAAACCTCCATACAATTTCTCAGAGAATCTGATAAATTCATCTTAAAGATCACACAGGAGGGAAAAGGGCCAACAATACTTTAATCCAAAGCACAACTCGATTATCATAGGTTTTGCAAAGCTACACAGGACTTATGTTTTAATATCCTTCTGAGTTTTTCTGTGCACAATACTTTAAACAGGTAACTATATTTGTGGGTCAGAAGTCTGCCCACCTCTGACCCAAGTCAGTGCAAAGCAAAAGCCTGGAAGACGTCAGTCGTAGGATTTGTCTTAGGAGCTCTAAAGATTGCCCATAAGGGAATAAGAGAATTCTTTCTCTGCCTTTTGGCTAAGGCAAGAGTGAGACTAGCAGAGAGAAGTTAATAACATTACCCATATCTCTAGAAGCCAGAACAAATCAGGAGTAAATTTTAAAAGTAGACGTAAAACTTGAAAATTGCCCTAACAGAGCAGAAAAATAATAGGTGTAAATGTGGAAAATGGTCCTCTTTGTAGTTGAATAAGAATTTATATTTAAAGCATCATGTTTTACAGGGAAAATTCTTCAATATAATACCAAAAGTTCAAATCAAAAATGTGGGGGAAAGATAATTTTCACTACATTATATGGAAAACCTTAATTGTTCATGCTAAGAAGCTATAGGAAAACTTATTAACAACAGATTGGGACAAATTTTATGAACATAAAACAATAAAAAAAATTAAATATTTCAGGAGAAAAACAAGATTTAGAAGTAGAAAACAAGATAGCTTGCAAACATATGGAGATGCTCAACGTCACCTGTAACGGGGCAGATGAAAATGAAGGCAGCTGTAAAATACAATTTCACAACCATTCAGTTTAGTCAAACTCTCAATCTGTATCCTGAAGATGCTAAGCGATGTCCGTACTACTGGTGGAGGTCTCCATATGCGAATATGGGAGGGGTCATTGCTATATCTGCTGAGAGGCTAATTGTAGATTTGTCTTGGGAGGCCCAACCATAAGAAAATACAGAGCTATTCTGTGCACAACCTTGTCCCTGCGTCACGTGCCTTCCTGTTTCCTACATGTTCACCAACGATTACTAAAGCGCTGCCTCTCCCCCCACCCCCCAATGCCCTCTGCAGGTCTGATTACCTTGCTATCCCTTCAGAGAACAAGGAGAACTCTGTGGTGCCTGTGGAGGAATAATGCGGTGTGACTTGAGGTGATGTACAGGGTTTGGGGAGGGTAAGGAGGGTATGGATGACATGCCATACAAATGTTGTCTGGCATCCATAACTAAAGTGACATTCAATTTGGTCTTTTCTCCTCGGCATAGCAGTCCCGCCTTCTGGGTACTTTAAGTTAAGGGTCAAGTCACAGTGCCTTCCATTATGTCAAACCCTTCAGAAGCTGAAGAATGTTGGACGGCCCAATCCCCTTGCTCATGATAACAAAGCCATAAAAATTCTCTCATTCCCTCTTTGGTACAAATGTATTTGGGGAGGGCAGAACTGAACTTTCTTGGTGAGTTCTTCTGTTGTTGCTAGGTGATCTGAGCACTGAGGGAGTTGGATTCCCAGTTCAGTGATGTCAGCAGCATCAGCAAGGTGCCCCAAGAATCCCAAGCATCCGTCTTTCTAGTCATCAACCTCCCACCCCAACTGTGAGATTTTATCTGACTTCCAAGCTCTATTGGAACTCTACACATCTTGCCTGAACTGAAGAGCCAACATCTCTACGTGAACTAAACCTTGCTCTGTCCTTGCTTTCAAGCAAGCAGCTCCCAACTCAACTAAAGTTGTCCCTTATGCTCCAAATGACTTTAGACAAGTACTGGAGAGTAGTGTTTCCTCTGCCCTAACTGTCTGCCATTGGGTCATTCTCCACTGCTACAAAAAGAATAGATATACACCAGAAGGAAGCACCAATTAGTTTGGGTTAAAGCCAAAGCATGTAATACACTTAGATTCACTGACATCAGTTTTTTTTTTTTAAGTCCATGGCCTGCTTCTCAGAATACCAGAAAGCAGCATGATCCTCCAAGGTTTCTGGAAACATTTTCTGTGTGGACGGGTATGCTTTCTGGATCTTAGCGTTTCAGGGCTAGATCTCCATAATCCCAAAGGCCTGGAGCAAACCAGGAACTTCCAAGAAGCCAAGGAAGGATCCAGGGCAATTTCATGAGGCCTTGAAAGTGATACAACATACTCCTGATATTGGAAACATGGATGTGTGTCCTTTCTGGATTGAAATTGCTCAGCTGCTCCCTTCTTAGTGTCTGTGGATCAGTATTACTCCTCATTTTACAGGAGGCAGCTGAGACTCACACAGGGATGAACAGAAGCTTTAGGGGATTAAAGAGAGCTAGGGATGAGATTTCAATGCCACTAACCTCATGGTCCCTGAGACGGAAGATGTTTCTGAAGACCCTGACACTCAGCTTGACTATAGCCATGCCACTTGCCCAGCAGAGGCTAACTATCACAGATTCCAGGATCTGGCAGTCAGGCAAGAGAACACAAAAGGCCTGAGACAGACCTGCAGAATTTCGCACCAATATGAGGCATCCTTCAGAAGACACAGCACCTGAGGATGATATCTATACAGATGAAAAATGTCTTAGCCTGACATGGAAGATGAACAAAGTGACAAAGATAGGTGTGTAGCTTCTAAATACCTCACCTGTAGATCTGTAATGTCTGGTATTTGATGTTTGTGTGCCCCCCGCCCCACCCAGGAGAGCATAGAAATGAGATTATTAGTCAGCATCTCATTATCTCATTTTAATGACTGTTCTAAGTGCAATATTCTTTAGCCTATACAGATAGCAAGGGCAGGACGCCTTATGGGATATAAAATGACAGAAGTGGGATTCAAGAAGAGAAATGTCCCTCAGATCTGGAGAAATCTATAAGAAAGACCATTCTCCACTCCCACAGGGTTTTGTATGACAAGCTCGTTCTCACCCCTCCCATCACTGGGGCATACTTGAAACAAGACCCTCATCATTTATGAAAAGAGTAATTTTGTTGGAGAAAATATTTGCAATAAATTCAAGACCCTTCTTCTCATCAGCTAATTTTCCACTCCATGCTTCTGAAATAAAAGAGACAACAAAACACCTTTTCCATACTTTACAACTAGAGAAAGAGCCTTGAATTAATGCAGCATTTACCCAGCCATGGGCTGGTTGGTCCAGACCTTGTGGTGGTAGCAAGCTACTCCCTCCATCCTACTGTCTGCGCGACTATGCATCTAACCCTTGACGAGGTGGTGTGTGTGACTGCCTTTTCCTCTTTATTTAAATGCTTCCTAAACAGAATTCCATCCTAGATATCAGAATTCATAACGAAGCTGGATGGCACCAATCATATGCCCCTTACAAGACAGTTTCTCTTTCCTGTTCCCTTCTCTAAAATGGCAATTCTTCTTATCCTTAGTATCTGCTTTCTTACACCTGGAGGGCTTGCCAAGCATCCTTTTCTCTCCTCCACAGCCACTCCAGCGGTATGAATGCTGTTAATGCTCCATGTTACAATGAAGAAACAGAGGTCTTCTGACATCAAATACCTTTACTAAATCATCAGGTCACCTAGCCTACTGTTCTCAGAGCTAGGGTCCTAGTCCTCCCTCACCCATCTCACTTGGCTTCCCAATTACACCATCACTGCTTCTTCTCGTCTTTCCCTCCCTCACTCCTGTCCAGCCCTTTCTTCCCTCCATTGTCCTCTAAGCTTCCTAATCTTCAGTGTCTTTACTCCTGCTTTTTTTTTTTCTTGATGGATGCTAGACACGTGCTTTGGGAGTCCATCCCATTCTATCGTTGTCTAGTTTGTTTACATGGTGGTTTATCCAGAATCACAGTTGAACTTCCTTATGGAAGATCATGATGGTAACCTACAAGGTATGGCACTCACCAGCCTACTTCAAATCATCACCATCTCCATTTCTTCCCATACTTCAACTCAGAGTCCCAGACTGGACGTGTGCGGCGCTGGGGTGTTGTCTGGTGTGCTATCGCTTACCAAAGGGCTTAGAGAGCTCTCAAGGGCTATCATCATTTAGCAACCCCATTGTTTGTCTCGGTGCTGGGTATTTCCTGTGACTGATCCTCAATCACTTACTGAAGGTCACACTAGGCTGAGTCTGATTTTCCCTTTCTTGCTGCTCAACAGCTGTGAATTTGGCTACTCAACTCAGCTGTCCAGAAGGCATCTTGTCCTGACTTTTACTGTCAGCTAGATCTTAAATCCAACCCCAGTCCTTGAGGGGAAATACCCAGTGCTTGCTCCTGTCTTAGGCTTCACTTTCAGTCCATTTGACAGCATTGCTCTTTGGTCTCTCCACCCTTAAATAAGTGTACATGCGAGCTTTCTTTTGAATTTCTGGAGTTGCTCTAGACATGCACTAGAATTTTTAGTAGAAGACAGCAGTGGGGTTAAGGAAAAGAATAGGGGTGAATAGGGCTGAGGAGATAGCTCACTAGGTAATGTGCCTGCCACACAGTTGTGAAAACCTGGGTGCTGTTAGGCACTATGGTACACTCTGGTGCTCCCTGTGCCAGGGAGGAAGAGACTGGAAGGTCTCTGGGCCTCGCTAACCAGGTCACCTAGCCTGACTAACTTGGTGAGCTCCAGGCAAGTAAGAAAGCCTGTCTCAAAAGCCAAAAACCCAACAAGGTGGACAATGCCTGAGGAATGACACCCAAGGGTGACTTCTGGCCTCCACATGTGCATGCCCACAAGTTAAGGCCCATATGTGTACATGCGTAAATGTGAACACACACACACACACACAAACACACACACACAAAGAGGCCAAATCCAGTGATGCACTGCTGGAAGCAGGAGGATCAGAAGTTCAATGCTAGCTCAGCTGCATATCAGCATAGCGGAAGGCTAACTTGGGCTACGTGAGACCCTGTCTCAAAAAAAAAAAGTAGCTCACCCTCTCCATATCACACTACCACCACATGCATAAAGTATGAACCGAGCACAGTGATGCATGCCTTTTTCAGAATCTGTGAATCTACTGGGCACAAACCACAGGGAAATGTTTGGGATGACACTTTTGCAGGGAGAAGGAAGAGCTAGATACACCTCAAATGTATCATCAATCTTTTCCCAGTTTCACCAGGAAACAAAGTGTGGTACACACACACACACACACACACACACACACACACACACACCTACCTTCCTCTCATTTCTGTTTTGTAAATGAGAAAGCCCCAGTTCTGGGAATTCACCCAGTCACTGCAAATGTATCTAAATATGACTTTGGTGTGCTTGCACAGCAATCTGATCATCTATTGGCTACACTAATACACTCTGTGTCGAATACTGGGTTCAGTTCTCAATAGAACCCAGGATCTTATGTCTATAAAAGTGTGTGTGTGTGTGTGTGTGTGTGTGTGTGTGTGTGTGTGTGTGTG